CACCCACCTCACCACAGCCTCTCTTCAGGGAGTTATAGAGAGCCATAAGGTCTCCCCTGAGCCTCCTCCAGAACAAACGATCCTGATTCCCTTAGCCACTCCCTGTAAGATTTGTTTTCCAGATCCTTTACAGCTCCACTGTCCTTCTCTGAACACATTCTATCAGTGTCTTGTAGTGAGGGGCCCAAAACTGAACACAGCACTCGAGGCGCACCCTCACTGTCACTAAGTACAGAAGGACGATAAACCTCCTGCTCCTACTGGCCATATTATTTCTGATACAAGCCAGGATGCCTTTGGCCTTCTTGGCCACGTGGGCACACTGCTGGCTCGCGTTCAGCCTGCTGAAGGAGAATATTGCCATCAAGCATCCAGCCCAAAGAAGGATCTCCTCTGAAAATACTACAGCGGTGTCTGTATCAAAATCAGAATAACAAAGAAAGCTAAGACCATTACTACAGACCCTGTATATTTTTACAGAACCACGCTGTGTAAAGACTGCACAAAACTTCCAGGGCTGCAGCTTCCCACCAGAGCTAGCAGCACCGCTATGCTGCACTGACCTGAGGACACAGCTCCCTGTGTTGGCAGTGTGAGGCAGGCCACAGCCAGGACCAGTCTGGCCACAAGCTTTGCCCACAGGGCTAATATAACAGCCCCCTTATTGTACCAGAGACTGCAGTTAGCTGAAAAAAGGGCAAATATGAGAAAGACCCTTAAAGAATTGGGAAAAATACTTGCTTAGTTTTAATTCTTCTCCGAATGTTTTGTTGGGGTTTCTTTTTCTATTTGAGCTTCTTAGATATGTATTTTTTTATTTTCTAGTTTGCTTTCACTCCCCTCTTCACAGGTTTGTTTTTTCTGTTTCTTTGAAAAGTCTACAAACCTCTCCTTTTGACAGTATTACCAAATGGGTAAAGCCATGATAAACTTGAATCAATAATAAGCTAACTCATTTTACTTTCTTTCCTCTGACAAGCTCTTCAGTTGTTCAGGGCATTCAAGATAGCATATTACTGCTTCCAGAGTAACTAAAAGAAAAGCTACAAGCATTTGAAACGAAAATGTAAAAGTTAACAGGTCTTTTCCACTCCCCATGAAGAGAAGGCCCTATACATTTCAGCCTCAGCTCTGGATCAGAAACTACTCTCAAACAAGAGACATGTTGTCACCGTGTCTGCAGACCTGGCATACCTCTTCACTTTCTAGTTCCAGCAACTGAGGAGCTGCAAAAGGAAGTCACGCTGTCCCTGACATCTCCCTGCAGCTGACAGGAAGCAGAACTCCCTGGCAGCATGGAACAGGCTTGCCATCCCCCCCCAGGCAAGCTCAGCTTTCTCTGGCACTTGAAATTATTCTCACCTTTCTTCAGCCCTCAACTGAAGCCCCAGGCTTCTGACATTTCACTTGCCTTGTCAATGAAAAAAGTGGAAGGTGAGAAGCACATCTGATACTCTACTGGAGAACCTGTGCTTCTCAAAGGGACGTTGGTGTCAGAGCTCTGGGTACTCAGGTGATGCAAAGGGCACTGCAGAAGTGGATAAAGATTGTCATAGGATACAGCAAGGCACTGAAGTTCATACTGCCTGAAATCAATGTCTCATGAAAGAAAGAGGCTGTACAGCATCGCACCTTCACTCTGTTCTGGTTTGAAGAATTAAAAACACTTCAATCATAGATGTATCTTCCCTCAGAAAGACATAATAGAGCGTGAAATATTACCTGGTATAAATATGCTGTCCTGGGCACTGGCAGTTAGTAGACTGACTGCACATTTCATAGCCAGCTGAAAGGCTTCTTCAGCACCTTTTCTTGATGGTCTCAGGAACGGAATGCCAGTGAAGCTGTCCATGGATTTCAATGGACACTGCCTCAGACACTGATAGCCATCACATTATCCCGCATATTCTCCTGTAGTTTAAATATATGCTACATTCTTCCATGGATCTCTTCCTGAATATAAGTCAAAACAATGACCTTCTCATCTTTGAAAAGGGCCCAGCACAGAAATAAATTGCATAATCTTAATGATCATTTTAGAGAGACTGAAAAGAGGGTGTCTCTCCTGAAAAAGTGGAATGTGTTTATTGCACAGAAAAACCTCTGATTAACGCAAGTTATGGAAGCAATTACATAAATGATTCGCCTCTTTCAAAAGCAATGGCATCAATGATACTGTTGAGAATAAATAATTATTTTCTCAGTTCATACAGGATATATCCAGAGCTTTTTTGTGGTCTGAGCTGTTTTCTGACACCTGATTAAATTCAAAACATGTCAGGCTCTGGTTAGACATAACCCAGGGCTCTATCTTCTGCATTAAACCAACAGATGATTTTGACTATAGCAATGCCTATTTGTACAGTTCCTTTTTATACAGTGGTTAACACTTCTTGGATAAAAGATTACCAGAAGAAAACACCATTCTCTAATTGTCGTATTTCTCCTCTTTCTGGATTTCTGGTTGTCTCTTCTTTTCGTCCTCCAAAGAGAAGATTTCAGATCTTAAGTGAGATGCTATTATATATTTATTAGAGTAATTAATACCAGCTAAAATTTTAGAAAATAAATGTTACCTACTGCCAGCAAAGCAAGAAATCCACTGATCATAATTTCTCCACTTAGAACTGCAATGTACAGTCACTTGAATTGCAAAATCTGAGCGTGACATGTGTTCTTGTATCATGAGGGCAAGAAAATCCTTATTAATCCAGACCAGAAAAGCAGAATGATGCTGAACAGCAAAGGGCAGGAACAGACAGATGGGCACTGGCTGATTGGTACTCTGAGCAGAAAAAAATGTAATGCATTTCCAGACTGTGTACTTGTGGGTAGAATAAACAAGATGTTAATTTTGACAAAAATATTGTCTGGTAAAGAACTGCTCCAGGTCCTAGAAGAGACAAGGACTGTCAGAGTATTTGAACTAGTGTCCTAATTTCTCTGTTTAGGAACTGATTAGATATAGTCTCATAATGGACCAAACACTTTACCAAAATATATGAAAAGAAATACTTGAACGGTATAGTAATTTGTTTGAAAAGTTTGGCCTTTTTAAAACACACTGTATAACAATGCACAAAATATTCTTTCCGAGGAATGATTTCAGATTTCTGGGGGTAAGAGAAATTTAATTTTCATTAAAGTTTGTGTGTATTCTTTGCAGACTTGTCTTTTCTACCCAGTCTCCTTCCTGTTGTACTAGGGAGGGAAGACAGAGCCCTGACCTCAACAGTAATGGATTAAGCAGTCCATGTGGATGTGTTACATCATATGACACAGGAGTGAGTATCTTACTAATCAAGGACCAGAAGGGAGTAAAATAAGATTCTTAGCTCTGTTGAGATATAAGGCCCACGTATCTACAGTCTTCCTAAAAAACAAAGAAACCACATAGTTACCAAAACATTTTCACTGAGATAAAGAGATTTCATTGCTTACACTTGCATTTCAGCTTAGAATATCAGGGTTTTTGAGGGAAAAGGTTATTTGGGCTGATCATAAGGGAATTGAGGTACTTCAGTTGAATGAGTTATGACTCTTCAAATTATCATTTACAACAACGACAACATGGTAAGAGCCAAAATACCAGCACATGCCCTGTGATCAGTGCTATGGAATTATCTACTCATGTGACTCACTCCAAGTAATGGTTAATTCCTTGCTTATTCCTGAGTTGTGAAACAAGAGTTCTTTGAGTGGGGGATCTCTCCCATATCCCCACACATTTCAGCTGGCACACGTGGAAGGCATGGCCACATCTGTTTCAAGATGGGGAGATAGAATGGGACTTCTAACAAGATCCCAGTCAAACAGGATGGGACTGAAAGCTGTGTTACGGGAAAACAAACTGGGTGGTGATGATCCTGAGACAGGCAAGGAGTTCAGCTATTCCAAAGCGCTTGTGCTTGAAAGAAATTACGGCACAGATGGCACAAAACAAAGAGCTCGTTCCTGCTCCAATTAAAAGCTCAACTCTTGACTCACATAACTGCAGACAGAATCACTCCCAGGTATGTTGACAGAAGAGTATTTTCAGCTCATATGGATTTTTGAAGCACTTGGTATGGGGCAGTCACATATCTTCACAGTGAACTGGAAATGCTGTCTCTTCTTGACTATGACAGTATTTCTCCCTCATCTTCATAGAAGCGTACACAAAATTCAAGCCAAGTAATTTATGGAAACCAAACAACCTTTTAGTGCTTTCACATTTCAGTGAGGCAGGACGTTTTAAGATGAGAATACAGATAAGTATAATGCGTTTGATCCATCAAAGCGTTTTTTGCTTTAGTGGGTGTTTGCATGTATTTGCTGGGATTTATTTCTATTTAAGGAAAGGCCACAATCTATTGTTTACATGCAGAAAAGGAAATGCAGTGGGGAAAATGCTGATATTTTATCATTAGTGCTAAAGTTGCAAGGCAACTTGCAGCAATAGTAGTTCTTTGCTCATAAATGCAATGCATGTGGTACTGTTCAACATCATGTCACATTTTCTAGGGTTAGAGATAGGCAAAGGCAGTTCCTAAAGCAGCAGATTGCTAAAGGGGAAGATGGAACAAGAAGGGGTGAAAAATGGCAATGCTCTCACTGCTTCCTTTGCCAATAACAGTCTTGAAAATCAGGTTGGCTCCTGTTGCTGCTGCAGGAGTTACAGACCACCTGCGCCTGTGGTGGGAGCTGTTACTCCCAGCAACAGCAAAAGCTCACCCTTCCCCAGCAAGAAGCTGCAGCTGCTTCTCTCCTGCCTTATTCTTATCACTTCCCCAGCTGTAGCAACTTTTCAAATCTGCTTTCAGTGCAGAGAAGCTAGATTTGATGTTTGCCATAATGAAATTCAAATAAAAGTCTGAAAGACAGCCCTAAATGGAGAAGCTGAACTTTTAAGAGTGATCAATGCCTTTCTTCAATTCCAGAATAAGGACTTTTGCAATGGCAAAATGGAAGATGGTACCATGAATTCTTGGCATAAAACCACGCTGATGAACACAACGATGTATATTTACATGCAGCGAATTTTTAATTTATCTGTTTTTCCATAGTTTAAAATACTTCTATCTGACATGAAAGGCATTAGACATACAACTATATGTGATTCATAGTTATGATAAATTATTACAAACCTTGTGGAAAGTGCTGGATTGACAGTCCTAGTAGTACATAGTCCCAGTGAACAGTTTTCTCCTATAGTTTCTAGCTGTATCCTTCAACCCTGACCAAACTGGAGGGTCATCTTGTGATGAAAATAATAAGCTTTCCATGGTGCATTTTGTCCCATCAAATACAAACAGTATTGCACTGCCCTCTGTGGTAACAATCCTGTGTTGTATACATGCAGCTGTGGGGAATACATTTATTAAAAATGCTTAAATAAGATCACAGGACTACTTCTTAGCTGAGCAGGATTTAAACTACTGTCCCAGAAATGAAATTATTTTATTGCAACAGCAGTAGCTTTTAGCGTGGCTTCTAATTTGCCACACAGAAAGAGCCTCTGTCCTGAGGCTACAAACTATAGGAACAAAATGCAACAGATGGATTGAAATAGCATGACCAAATAAACCAGAATAAAAAGGACTGGGATAAAATACATCAGCTGCTCATCCTCTGTGTCATTCAGGCTCCTCTCTAACATATACGGTTATCTTCCAGTAACTTTCTCATGACACATATAAGACATTTGCAATTTTGAAATTTGTTCTGAAGTATTTGGAGGGATTCCATCTTACTTGTTAATGGTAAAGCAAAGGAGATACTTCACATCATGATGCCAGATGAAGGTGTTGCTTTTAAGAAATTAACCAGGTTGCACTCAGGCATCTGAGCGCCTCTTCATTCTGCTCTTTGTGCTAAGCTGCAGATCTTCAGCACCTCCTTTTCACAATCTCCAGAACACTAAAAATCAAAAAGCAAAGAAAAATATTGTATTTTTTGACATACCTTGATTTGCAGCCTTAAACACTGAGTGGAATACTAGAGCATTTGGTTTGCTTAACTAGCATTTTTACCTTAATCCCATCAGTGCTCTTGTTAAATCTTATTCTGTTAAAATTATGAAATTCAATAAAATTCAATGGCAACATTCATTCACCTAGAGGTTATCACAGCACTTGTGGAATACAATCTTATCAGTGGACTGGAACAAGCAAAATACAGATTAATACCAACAACATGCTCTAAAAAACTGGACAAATTGATTGGTGTTACATGGAATTTTAAATATACTTTTGTTAAGGCTGGCCTTATAGTAAAGATAAGATAAGGTGCTTTACTCTTGATTAGAGTCTGAGATTGGCTAAGAGTTACAAGACACCTCTGCAATACAAATAAGTTATTCAGAAATTGCTACCTCCATTTTCAAAGCAGAAAGGGGGTCTCAGTCCTTCACCCTCCCATGTTACTGCTAAGCCATTACTGTTACATGTGATATAAGTCTCTCTTATAAAGATCCCTCCAACTGAAAACATAACTTACCATAAGCTTAACACTCATGGATTCAGAAAGGCACGTGCAAGTGTGAACAAAGCACACAACCAGATGCTGAAGCTGCTCAGACAGGGAGCACCTGAAAAGCAGAATGCTTCATGCTTTACTTTCACAACATACTTCAGACTAGTGCTATCCTACCTAAGCCAGCCTGAAGAGGTGTAGCAAATTACAACATTTCAGGCCTCCTATTTATATTTAGCAGCTCAAAAGATGACAACATTTGGAACGGTCAACTTCCATGCATGGCTCCAAAGAGAAACATTTCATAGGGGTAGTATGGAATAATAGGTATAGCAAGAATAATGAATGAGAAACTCAAGAACTCAGGTGATCTTTGCCCAGGAAACTCCTCCCCTGTGGCATATCTACAGGAAAATTGTGCCACGTGCACGAGAGATGTGGGCTGACAGCACAGGTCAGCTGCTTCCAGTAAGATCTGCTTTAATTTCAGCAAGGGCATGGTAGCAATTCAGTCCTCTTTTAGCGCCTCAGCATTCCTCTTTTTTGTTCAACATCTTATCTCTTGCTTGTAGCAGTGGAAGGAATAATATTTGCTGTCTGATAGTGATAATCTCTCAACACTGGCTTGACTGTATGTGAACTATCACTAACTGCAAAACATCCATATATACTCACCAGCATAACTTGTCTCCAGTATGGTTTGTAATACGAAGAAGTAGTAAGTTAAACCACTGGAGCCTAGGCTTTCTTTCCAAACAGGATGAGAACAGCAGGGGGAAAGCAGGGCCCTAGGTCCAGTTTGGATAAAGGTGCTGATCCACCCCAGTGCCACTTCCTTTCCCATTTGCAGCTCAGCCAACCAGAGCCCTGCTCTAAACTTTTAAGGCAAAGAACATGGGAAAGAAGGACTGGGGAAAGCTCTCTGTTTCAGCCTGTTTTACACAAGCTAGTGCTTAGCACAGTGTCATCCACTAGCCAGCTGACAGTTTTCTTTCATTATGCTGTGGGTAAATCCAGTAGCATCCTTGTAATTCCTCTTGGTCAGGCACATGATTGGTGGTAGGAGTTAAAGCTGATTACAGAATTCACTCTAGCTCTCCCTCACAATATGGGTGTGATCCTGATGGGTGCTGAGATGCACATTGCTCTGGTGCACCAGCACCCTCCCCTCCAAGCAGAAGTGGGAAGTGGCTGTACTCACCACCTGGAGCTGGGGGTCGCCTCGACAGCGGTATGCAAGCCGTGGTGGGTGCCTCGGGGCTGTTGGTCCTGGCTCCATCCAGTGCCAGCTGAAGGCTCTGGAGCTGTGATGCACTCAGATGCTCACGCTGTGATTCTGTAACCATAGCAGCGTTTTCAGGGCCCAGGTTTGCTATTTGTTTTGGTGACAATGCCTGGGAGTGAAAAAGCCAGAAAAAATCATTTAGACCTCCACTTACAGACAGGTAAGGAATGAGGAGAAAGGGCCTTCAACATTGTATTTCTACAGGAAAAAACTCAATAAAGCTTAGAAAGAGCTCTTTGTTAATTTATTTCACTGGGCATTTGCTGCTCGGCTGTAACAGCTTGAGAAGCTTTCTTTGATAACACTTGATTGGACACCGCTTCAATATGTAAAAGGAGTTTCATTGTCCAGTCACTTTTCTGACTTGTGCAAAGACAAATGACACTGTGCCTCATCTTGTGTTTTCGTGTATTTCCTCTTATACCTGCTCCCAAGCAACCTCTCTTCATCTATATTTAACCCTTGATTGGAGGTATCAGTAGGGAAAGCAGTGAGTTGAAAAATAATATGTTTTAATCTCATGATTGTTTCCTTTTTTAGACTGCAAATCCTCCAAGTTTGGACGTACAAGTTTGTATTTAAAAATGAATATGGAAATTATAATGTTGTAGTAATTATGTTACACGGAAATTAACCTGCCATGCATTGGCCATGCTGGATTGCTTCGATTCCAGCTAACAATCTGCAGCCCCAAGAATTGCAGCCCTCCTGCACAACATGCCATCTCTGCAGCAACAGTTCTGCATCCAGGTTCTACTTTACAAGGGATTATATTTTCCCCTTCCAGGTAGGTCAGAGCACACCCATTTTTCATTGTCTAGCAAACGATATGCTCCTTTAAACCTCATAAACTCATGTAAATGTCTGTCATCCAGAAACGCTGAGATGAGCCACTTTTAAACTAAATTAAGGTCCATTATACAATGTAGTTTTTCAAAAATCAAAACCTGAATAATGTATGTAGCTCTACAATAGCATAAAAGCTATGTAAACAAATTCTGCTTTGAGTCTTTCAAATACAGCAAAATGTTCTGGGAAGAACCCTGTTGTTTTTTAAGCACATTTTTTATCATCATTCCCACTCACTTCGCAAGAAATTCTAGAGGGTGCCATAGACCTTCACCTTCGCCTGTTTTCCAGACAGACAGTTTGGCAAAGAGCATCTCAAGCTTATCTAAACTGTCAGTGGTACTGTGCAAAACAGTAACTGTTCAGGGAGTTATTCTCATTTATGGATCCTGACACAGTTAACTGTCTGTTTAGCTCATCTGGCCATAAATACATCATTTGACTGAGCATCTGAAAGAGACCAGACTAGGCAGAACATTAATCTTGTCACTGAGTCAAATAAAGTCTGGGCCAATGACCTCGAGATCCACATTCTAATTTCTGGTCCACATTCAGAATGGTTGTAATTAGATGTAATTCCTTTCTGATCTGTATCTGCTTGTACAATCTGTTCCTCAGAGCTAACACAGGGAAATGTTGCCAGATTTCAGGATAATAAAAAGGCTCTTACTTAAGTCAGCACAGAAATCTGTAGTTGTGATAGCATCTCTACAAATGCTAATAAACAGAGAAGAAAACTCAGATTTGAATACAGTGTGAAAAGAAAGAGTCCCTTCTGTGCTTTCTGACCCCAGGTCTTTGCTTTTTCTCTGATTCGCATTCTGAGGAAAAAACAAAGCTTGCTTAACATGTTTTATGCTCATCCCAAGTACAGATAACACAGTTTAAAGTTAATGTTTTAGATTTCTGACTGTCTATCAAACCATAGAAAAAATTCTTACTGAAACCCCAAACCAGTGCTGCAGTTTATTTATACCAGAGTTAAAACAATAAAAATTCAATTACTTCTTCACTAACAAAGCTCTTACTTGGAAAATTTCAGCAGGTATACTTCTTACTGCTATTGGCTGGAAATATGGCATCAGGTTTTTATCAAAAGCTTTTAATTCATCCTCATTCAAACCACCTGCAAAGACAATACAGTTTTTTTTATTAGATTGACTTTTAGGGTAACACTTGTGCAAAATATCTAATAAATGTATTTCTTCCATATGTTTCATTGAGGAATACTGGTTCTTAATCTTGTTGTTTCTTACACTGTGTTCAAACATCATAAGTCCTTAGCCACTGGTATGGAGCGCACTCTAACTGAAGAACCACTAAATAACTCTTGTGGTTGTAAAAGAGACAGCTGAGGGGAGATCTGAGAAAAATCTATGAAGTCATAAGCAGTGTCATTAGAGAATGTTTCTTCATAGTCTCCTCTAAGACAGGAAGACTTAGGGAGCATTAACTGAAATCATTGGAAGGCTTTAAAAAAAGTGCAGCAGGAGGCACCTTATGGAGACTACCACAAACTTTTCCTTAGTGCTAATTGCTGAATGCCCATCCCAGCAGCTGACTCCTCTCTGGAAAAAAATTCCTTTTGCCAGTCTTGAAAAACACACTGCTACACGAACCTTTCACTCAACACTTAATAACACTGCCTCACAACTATCACCATCTGCAGTCTGAAATTTGTTACCTGCTATAGTACCAATTTCCTGTAACACAGAGCCATTCCAGCTGGTCGCAGTTCCAAACACAGACTCTGTTATCTTCTTGAACTGCCTCAGAACAGGGGTGCTACACAGCAAGAGGCCAATTCTTGCAACAGCAGCACTGCAAAAGACAAGGTTAACATGAAATGCTGCAATTGCATGCAGTACTAAAAGTGCCTGGAATATAGTCTGCAGTAGCAAGAATGTAAACCCATTCCTGAGTTAAAATATATGTACAAACATTGCAAGCAAATGTTGAACGCCTGGAGCAAAAACCCAGGTTTCACAAAATCATAGTTTGGAAGGGACCTCTGGAGATCATCTAGCCCAACCCCCTGCTAAAGCAGGTTCCCTACAGTAGGTTGCAAGATCTCTGAGTGCATTACTTGAGTGGTGGGATACAAATGGCAGAGGAAATTTAAAATGACTGTGTTTTAAACAGCCACTGTATGCTTTCTGTAACAGCTACTGCCTTCCTTAAAGCATTTAGAATGCAAACAAAAAGAGCCCTTTAGGCTCTATGAATCTTCAAGGAAAACAAGTTTGCATTTTATCAATAGAGATACTAACAATTCTGTTATGTTTCAAAGGCTGTACCTGAATTCAGCAGTCCTTATGGACATGATTTCGGTGGAGTTCAGAGCACAGAGAATAGCTCCCAATCCAACTAAATCAAAGCTTTTTAGTGTACTCATTGTTTGCCCAGAATCTTCTAGAAAACTTTGCAAAATAGATCTTGCCTGCAGAAATATGAAGATAAAAGGTGTGAATGGAGTAAATATAATTGAAGATTTTGTTGCCAGCAGCCCAAATTCTAACTGGAAGCTACGGAGTGTTACAAAGGGCCTATATATAATCCCGAGCCTTCCAATGTAATTAATAAGAGCTCTGTCATGGCCTTCAGAAGGAGCACTGGCAACACCTATTTGAGGCACTTAAGCAGAGCGTTTATATGGCCATTTCCCAAATGCAAGCAAGTTAAAAGAATTCAGTATGTCTTCTCTTGGTCACAAGTGACTATCTCCCTATAAGCAGCGGGCACTGAAGTGCCTGACAGAGCTGCCAAATTCAGTTAAATTCCTGGAAAGAAATGCAAATTAATTAATGGGATTAATATGAATTATTTAGGCTTTCTAATATCAGGTTGTCTTGCCTTATTTAACTGTCACTTTCTTTCAATTTAATATGAAAATCTCCTGATGTAATCAGAAGTTATTCAAAGAAAGGAAGATGAAAGGAACATAGCATCCAAGTGGCATACTTGCTATCAACCTAGGTTTCAGTGAATGCTAGGGCTGGGCTGTACACTACCTCTTCAGTGATTACTCTCAGTGAGGAAAGGCCTGCATCTTCCACCAGCAGCATCTCTTCAGGGACCAGTGTGAGAGGAGCTGCTGACCTCTTTTATTACTTGCTGAGCAAGAACTAAGGAATACTGGTCATCACCAGAATTAATACTGTTTGACCACAATTATTGCAATTAATAGCGATTTACATCCTCTTGGACATTTCAATGGCCAGGCAGATGTCAGTGCTGACCTACCAGCTCTTACTTGTGGTGGCCTCAGCTGAAGGCAACCAGCAGGCAGTGGTAGGGGTTGCTGTATTGGTTTCCTAGGCAATCCCAGGCCTTCAATCCCAAAGGATATATTCAGTGGTAAATGCAGTAACACGCTTACCTGGGCAAGAGTCCATTCTGCTTGTTGACTGAGGACAGAAATGGTGTCAATTGAATGTAAATCTAGCTCTTCAATTTCATTTTCAGTGAGTGCCAGTGCTATACGCCCCAGAGAAACAATATGGTAGCTCTTCCAGCCTAGCAGCGACCCCCAAACCTTTAGAACAGATTCATTGATTTAAAACATCTGTTAGATCATTGTGACTCTTTCTCTAGGTACACCATTCCTCAAACACTCCTTTTTAAAAGTCCCAATACCTGATATGTGTTTCTTCACACACAAAAGGCAGAGATTGGATATTGTGAAGGTGGGTACTGAAGTAATAATGGTTAGTTTATCTAAAATATCAAAATCAATGTACTTATATTGATGAGTTCCTCTTCTAGCTTTATTTGTTGCAGAGTTTCAGTACAGATTCAAAAGCTATCACAGACCAGCCCCAAGAAAGTTGTAATTTCAGGAGATCTGCCTGAATAAGGAATAATGAATGGCCATCAAGAGCTAAACTTGCAGAGCTCAGAACGATTGACTGCATTTAGCTGGGAATTACAAAAGATGGGAGTCAGTGGTCAGTATCTCCTAGGATGTGGCCAATTGCCTTTGTGGAGAAAAGACAGTGGCTTTTGGCTGATGGAAGTAATTTGAACAAGACAGCTATATGTTGGGGAAAAAAAAAAAAAGGTATCAGATACCTGAGCATCTTTGCATGATGTCAGTCAGCACAGGAGAGTTTTCTCATATGAGATTGTGCAAATAACTCCAGATAGAGAAATGAATGTAAAAGCACAGTCCTGGGCTGAGCTGACCACTCCATGCGAATATTTTTTCCATTTTCAGAGGACTGGTGTTTGCTTTACATCTCACAGAACACAAAGGGCCAGATCTCTGGAATAAGATGGTCTCCCCCAGAGCTGGGGGCTGTGTGCTCATTGTGCCACCACACACCCTGGAGATGCCCCAGGACTGTCGAGGTTCTGTCTCAACTATGACTCCCAGGGTAAGGATTTGTTTAAGACAGTCTTTGCCAGACCCTCACCTTCTGACTGAGTATCCACTAGATCTTTTTTGTCAGTTTTATAGAGTCATAAAGAAACAGCAAATAGCCCAAGTCTGGGAAATTTCAGTCTTCTCCAAAGAAAAGACACAGCTAAAAGCATTACCTCCGTTTTAATGCTACTAATTGTCTAGCTTAGAAGATACACAAAACACATACAGTTAAAAACGTTGTGTGCCTGTTTCCTGATATAGGTCATAAAATACAGAATCTGAGCAGTTTCATAAATAGCATTATCTGCATTGCTATTATAGCATTGCTGAAGCAATCTCAGACATAAAGGTATAAATAACACAGTGTATGAAAACTGAACCTCCCCTTTGTCCTCATTCACCTAGAGACTACAAAACCATACATCTGTTACTATCACGGAGCCTGGAGACCTTCCACTTCCAAGTGAGTTAAGCTGCTTACTTCCATTAAGACCCAATCTGATAACTAGAATTTTTGAATTAGTTTGTGGCCATGAATAGAACGCAGTTTATTTTAGAGGAAATATATCAATTTAGGAGAAATAAATCAATTTAGAAGAAGTTAAATCTGGCTTAATCAAACCTTTAATCATAGAAACTAGTTAATAATATAACAGCATCTTCTGCAAATAATTTCAAAGAGCTGTAGCTTCTTTGCCTGTACTGATTTCTCATGCTTGGTGTTGACTGTAATAGCGTGTTGCATCTGACAGATTAATACAGAGTCTGTCCTTGTCTAGCAGCATTCTGTCTCGCCAGCACTCACAAAGACCAAATATACAAAATTCAGAGCACCAGAGATCTGTGGATCTTTGAGTTGAGTATAGGAACATATCAACCTTGTTGAAAATTTCTCTAGAGCAGATAACACTCTGTAATCACACTATTATGCTGTACTCTGTAAAATAGTTCAGTTTCTACCATCTCAGATTAGTTTTATTATCCTCTAGAATTATTTTTATTTTTCCTTTTCCCACCCACATGCCTCTGTGTTGACAAAGGGAGGCAGACAGACAAATGTATTTGATGCATTGAGCTGCTGTCCTGTCACAGCAGAGACACAGCTGCAGAGTTAGTCAGACACCTGGCCAGTGCCCCTTTTCTTCACACACCTGTAATTTGGGAGTTTTAAAGATGTGCTGCCCTGCTAGAAACTGCACTTTTGGATTATCTACTTTGGCTGCAACTGCCACTGCACAAAGATGCCGCCCAGGCTGACTTTGGCACAGTCTTCAGACCTCCAAGCATCTGCACTTGTCCTACTTGCAGCTAACTGCACTTGTAGACACTTCCTAACCTTGTTCTGTCATAACAATCCAGCGGAACCTAAAAATGACTTCTAAAACATTGTATCATTGTGACAGAATGGGATTCAGGAAAAGCTAGCCAGGGAGAGATGGAGGCAGAGAGGAGACAACTTCCATCAGATACTGGTGATATGAAGCTGAAGACAGCCTGGGCATGCTAACCTCTTCATCTCTCATTCTTCTGAAGCCAACACAATAGGTACGACTGCATCCTAAGGCTTTTCCTGGCTGAAACGTAAGTCTATTTTGGAACAATACAAGCAAGCAGAAAAAGCTTGACCTCCAGGAGGAATGCATCACCAGTCTCAGCGGTGGGTGAGGTCTGGCTTCTCGGAGCCCAAGTCAGCACTGCACAGAGCCCACACACTGCTGGTGCTTTGCCCCTGACACAAGGTACAGTGGTGACAGCACCCAATCCTGTCCTGTGCTCTGGCACGCTCCGCTGGCACCACACATGCCAAAGGCCCAGGGCAGAGACCTGTTGCTTACCCACCAAAGTATCCTCTCTTTCAGTCAGTTTGGTTTTATTACACTGTAAACTGTATTTAACATGGATGTAGATGCTTGGACGTTCTCAGCTGAATTCTCAGCAGGGCCAACCAACAACCTACAGCACAGATTGCAGGTTTTTTTCATTTATAAAAGAAAAGTGAGAAGCAAGCAACTGAAAAGATACTGAAAAGTAAAACTGCAGCCAGTAGCTCAAAACAACTTGCCTCTTGACTCTAAAACAAAGCAATAATCTTCTCATGTTATTTTTCTAATGAGCAACAGATATTCCTGAGGTAGGGACATCACCATAGCACAGTTACTTTACAACTGTGTAGTTCAATAGCAGAAAGATAAATTATGGATTAAATTTTCTTTTACATGCAAAATAGTTACCTGCTTGGCTTTTTCCTTCAAGGCCATAAGTTGGGAGTTGTTAAAACCAGAGACGGTCCCAAGAAGTTCCACATTTTTGTCAAAAGTCCCTGCATCCATGCATTTCAGCTCCTGAGCTGACCAATAGACATTTGCTTCTGCTAACTTAATAATTTCATCTGAAGAAGGGGCTCTGGTTCCCAGGCAATCTGAGGAAAAAATAAAGTCAAATAGTAGGAGTATTTTTCAAAGAGACCAAAATAAAGAAATTGAATAGGAAGATTCAAGAGTTAAGAGGCTTATGGACTACTAATTAACTGCAACCAATGTAATGTTAATTATCTCACAATGAAATAATTTCCTTAAATATTTGCATCCTTGATATCTTGGACATAAAACTATAATTTGCCAAGTTTGTGAGATTCAACTACATTCTTTGTCCTTCAAAGGCAGTGCAGGCTGAAAAAGAAAAGTAGTGTGTATTTCAGAACTGTTACAATACAGGATGCTACAATAAAACCAAAATCTGAAGGCATACAATGCTGAGAGCAGACGAGGTCTTCCAAGTTTTTTCAAGACCAGTTGCCTAAAGGAATCAAACTCAGATCACTGAGATGGCCTCAGTCTCCATCCAGCTCCAATGCTGCTCAGAAAAATTAAAATATAGTTATAGATCGCAGCTGAACGAACTCCTCTGCATTCAACCAGGTTGTTTCTGAATCCAGTTCAGCAGGAAACTGTCGGACACAAGAGATCCCTTCATGCTGAAGTACCCTGACAGAGATAGATATACAGCTTGTAAAACTTGCCTGACATTTAAACAAGTGGAGACAGCAACTGGATGTGTCAGAGAAGCACGGTGCTTGCTCTCCATGTCAAGCGAGTTGTTAAAATGTCAGGAACGAGAGAGGGTGCCTCGCTTACAGCGGAACGGTTTGGACAGATGACCTGCATTTAAAGATGTGATTTATGGGCAACTTCCGGCCCATGCATGATCAAATGAGAGATTTTCCACAGTGTGTTTTAACAAATCCTGGTCCTTCTTAGTGTAATCTACCTCTCCTTTTGATGGAAAATAGAAATTAGAGTCCTAAGTGCTTGCTTACTGCTCTCGCTCTCCTGGCACTAATTTAGGAAAACCTTATTAAACGATTATTTAAACCAAACCTGAAGATATGTAGAGATTATATGGCCATTACCAGTGAAATGCAAGAATTCCACAGATGCTGCGTCAGAGCTAAGCTCCCCCAGATAAATAAATTGAAGTGAGGATGCATAGAGTAGATTTGTACTATGAAAGCAGGCGGAGGAGGGATTTATTTGCATCAAAGGAAGCTGCAGTAGTGGGTAGAACACTGAAAAGACTGAATCTGTTGAGCAAACGAAAACGTTGTTCAGTATGCACTGTACCAGCTGACATTCTGCTCTCTCTGTATGTGCCCTTCAATGTGAAGCTGCATTGTTTCACTTTCTCCTTCTGCAAAAGGTCAGCTTTTCTCATGTAAATACTGTCCACTACAATTCCTTTCCCCAAGTTATGAAAACTTTTGTTGATGATTTTTTGTTTTTGGAAAAACAAAACATTGATTTTATTATTTGCAGTGCACCAGTTATATTGGCACAGTTACAGAGGGAAATACTAATTAGAGTCCTGGCTTTGCTTCCTGTTTCTGATGCTTCTTCATTCTTTCTTCTGCTCTACATAATTATATTTAGTTTGATGAAGAACATATTACATAGATAACATTATAATATCTCAGTGCTGTGAGTTAAGCAACCTGAATTCTTTTTCCACTACTGCTGCTGCTTTCTGGTAGCATCTCAGACATACAATTCCTGAATTTTGCCTCATATCCTCCAATTTGCCTTAAACATCACTTCTGTTTTTCCCTTGGTGTAGGCACAGATGTATGAACTGTCACTAACTTTACTGTTATTATTATTTGCTCACAACCAGGAGGAGATGTTAAATAGCAGGCTGGCATCACGCAGAGCATCCATGTTATCCTCGAGCCATTCTCCTAATACTGCATTTTTTAGTAATTTAGAAACCAGCCATAAAACTTCATTCCTTACTGAAACTATAATGTGAGCTGTGTGGAGATTATGCTTGGTAACAGAACTTCAACACCATTCCTGAAGAGCAGAAATATTTCTTGTTGGACCAGCACAAACAATTCCCTCATTTTCCATATTCCAGGCCCATTCCCAGCTGCACCAGCACACTGAGCGCAGAGTGAGCAGCCTTGGAACCCTGTCATCCTTTGACAAAGGCCATAAGCTTCACTGGCAGGTTTATATTGGCCTTACAGTGCAGATGAGGCAGCTCTGCAATTGTACTGGACATGAGCTTGATTAGAGTATTTGGGATTGGTGGTGTTGTGACCAAGTCCTAGAGAAACATCTGTAAGGACAAAACTGTCTTAATAATTAATGATTTGATAATTTACTTCTTCAGAGTAGAGTGAATTTGATCCATATAGCTGGGCTCTGATACTCTGTCAGCTTGATCCTGCTTTTTTAGAGCATGATAATTTGTAATGATTCCTCTGCTCAACAGAGGTCATGGTTTTGCCAGCCCATGTAAAAATACAGCTCTGTAGAACACTATCTCCTGTATATGAATACAGAATTGTAAGGGATGTCACAGCCATCATCCAGAGTTGCTGCTATATAACTGGGAGGATTTCCATGGAGGCACAGGGGCCTGGTGAGAGCTTGGACTTGCACCATTAGGCAGAACTGATGGGTAGGTTTTCAAAGGCAGTCAGTACCAGCCTCCCTGAAACTGCTGGATGCTGAGTGCTGATCAGCGCTTGCAGAAGCTTCCCCAACAGCAAGGTCATTCTCCACAGCACAAGATGACACGGCCTAAAAATTCTGCCTGCGTGAATTTAAGATATGGGAAGGAATTATTGTAACAGAATATAGTCAAAGTATGAACCTTCTACAAAGAAAATGATCCATTTATCACCAGAGATTCTAGTAGATTGATTGTTAATAAATTTTAGATCATACCAAAACAGAGTGCTACAATCACCGTTAGATTTCAGAACGGCTGAGTCAACATATGCTTATGTCTGGCAAAGGATTAACTGCGTGTAATCTTTTGGCACAACAGTAACTTGTCACCTCCACAGCTTTCCAATTCGAAGAGCTTCATTTAGATTACAAAGAAGCCAAAAAAAAAAGGTAAAAATCAACAAAAACAATCAATTCAAATAATCTTTTCTTCAGTGTAAGTACAGACATTCCAAGAGATACTGAACCTTGCAACGCAGTACTGAAATCAAGTGTTTCAGCAATTGGTCAGTGCATCAAATGACTGTGGGCAACAGAGCAAAGACTCACCGTTTATGCAAGCAGACTGCTAAATTACTGAGTGCTTTCATTTTCATTGTCCTTGGAATGCATAAGATGATCAAGGCAAAACAAAAAGTCAGTTTGAACTGCAAACCTGGCACTTTGACTCTGCACAGACATCAGGTAAAACCCACCTGGTGAGCTGAGATGTGGTTCCATGTTGGCAGTGGCATTGAAGACAGATTCAAATACAGTTGATAGAAGCTCTTCAGCTGAAGAAAGTGGCCCAACCGTCTTTGCTATTCGCAAAACGATATCTGGAAACTTCAAAAGGAAAAAAAGAAAAAGATATCTTTCCCTTTTTTAAAAGAAATAATTCTGGAGAGAGATTTGTGCAGACCTCAGCAAAATGGAGGTTAGCAACAGCTCAGCCTCCTTCCTCTTTATGCAGACGTTTAGCAAGGTTAACTGAAAGGTCAACAGCAGGTGTTTAAAACCAAAGTAAATTCTGAGAGATTCCCCCTCTACCATGCCCTCTGATTCTGGTGACATCTGTGCAGCCTGACTGCTGACTGACTAGCAACAAACTCCTCTGTCTGTAATGTGCTACATGGAAAACACTTTATTTTCTTTGTTTCAAGTTTGTCAAATAAATATAAAAATCGAGCATCTTCTTTAGGGTTTTGTGATGCTTTGGTATCTCTTCTCTGCCCTGCTGGACACTTCCCTTTCAGTTATGAGTCCTATTCTATTTGTCAATTATAAGCATTAATTCCTGAGAAAAAGTTGATGACTGTGCTCACATATTTCTGCAGAATAATGAATTCCTCACCCAGTATAGTTTACCCTTATATATAAAAACTTGTAAGATTATATGAACTAAGGAGGGCAAAGAAACTACAATACACAGTGCTGAGGCTATTCGTTGTTGTTATGTGTGCTAAACTGGCCTTTGGGCAAAGGGCTGCAGGAGTAAATGCTGATCTGATCAACATGAGCCCATTATTAACAGGTAAGAAACATAACTTCTCTAGTTGAAAGGCAGAGGAATGGGGGAAATAATGCTACACAGAATACAGTTCTAAAAATATTTGTGTCTGCATAATTTTAAACACAGCATGTTTTTTTCTACATGACAATGTGCAATTATCAGTGTATATGTGCAAATAATTGCCTACAATAGAGAAGAAACCTCAGAAATTCTGATGAAGTCAGAAAACAAGGAAGTGGATAAAAGCATGGTTACTTGCCAGAATAATTATTTACCTAGTTTAACATTCAGGTTACATGATCTAGGCTGTTCTTGCATTCATAAATCCAAATTCAAACATAATGTTTAATACATTTAAACGTTAAAATAAGAACATACCTTTTCAGCAAGGACATTTAGTTCTCCTTTTGACAACTGGGCTATGAATGGTCCAACATCTAATGTCGTTTCAGCTGTCCAGTTCTTTGGAGAGCTGAAAAAATATTTTTGAAAATATTATTAATGAAGAATGCTTGCAATCAAAATTGCACTGAAACTTCAGAGTTTTTCTTACACTTTATCATATAGCAAAGACAGATGGTCCTGCACCAGTGTGATGATTCATGCATATTGAGCAACCTGGTCTAGTGGGAGGTATCCCTGCCTATAGCAGGAACTGGATGATCTTAAAAAAGTCCCTTCCAACTTAAACCATTCTATGATTCTGTAACATCAGACTGCATTTTCTCATCTCTCTCAGACATGTGGAGCATTAGTGGAATTCTCAGGACATACAATAAGAACCATCATAACCAAAACTGAAACCATCCTTTTTCCAAGTACCCTATCCTAAGGATCACCTTGCCTAATAGGCAGGCAACACTTGCAAGTACTTGCTTCTCTAAGTTAAAACAAAACCAAATCAAGACAACAAACAAAAAATATATTGCAATACTGAACCATTTGCACGTTTACAGGCACTCTTTTCACTGCTGCTGGTCAACTGTAGCTTTCCCTGTCGAAAATGGGAGCTGGGGTGTTCAACATTTCCAAAAAACAGGCTCATGAACACTTAGGAGAAGTGGACACTTTCCCTGTCATTCTATAGAGATCAAATTCACTAAGCAAATCAGGAAACAAGAAACAGGTGATGACACTGAAAAATTAAATAAGTACTTTATTAGCTCCCTGTCCAGCTGTCAAAGCTATCTCCTTCATCTGTAAGATCCAAGAGCAGATGAAGGAGGCTCTAACACCTTGGAAAGCCAGGTCTAATGACATCTAAGCCATTTTTGTATTAGAAATCCTTTCTATGATAGGTACTATGCCTCCTGAAATAACATGCTAAATTATTCAGAGGAATAGCTAAGAAGTTCAGTTCTGAGTGATGCAGGGTGTTTCAAAATATATGTTGCTTAGCACTGTTCTTATTTGGGCTGTTTGACACAAATGTTAGCCAACCTGTTTGGGGGTCAACTTAAGACAGCACTTGGATAAATAATTTTCAGCATGGAAAATTCTGCAGAAGGCAGTAGTGTAACCAGCCTGCTAGAAGTCTGTGTTCTCTTGGAAAACTTTGTTGCATTTATTGCCCTGCTACCAGAACATTTGACTAGACATTCATTATTTTAATAATGAAATGAATAATGATACATTGTGCTCAAAAATACTCCATTCATTCAAATGAATCTGTATCAAGATTGATGCAGGGACAGCATCTGTTGGAAAATACAGCGACAACATCACCAGAAAAATCCTGACAACTAGGAGGAAGCTGAATGAGCAACTAAAATTACTGGAAGCACCAGTGACAGACTTTGGGACTAAAGGGATGCTTAGAAACTAAGTGGTTAGTCTTAGCCTTCAGAAGCAAGATATCTCTAAGAGAGCATGCAAAAGAGAAACTTTACATTCTTGCCAGAGAACAGCTTTGCATTTTGCATGACTGATACAGCATTGTAGTTCAAACCAGCCTCCTAATCTGAGTCATTAACAATGTCTAACACACTCTTTCCTCTGTTGCCTCAATATATCCCCCAGCTTCTTCTTCTGTCGCTCTTCAATTGCCACAGGTGCCTGCAATCATCTTTTTCTTCTCAAACCAGTGCACAAGTGTGAGAATTCTTCAGCTCCCTGTGCCATACTTCACCAGTCACCCCCAACTCTTACCACACCAGAGGTTCTTACTGCCTGCCTTTCCTCAACCATTATGCTTTCTCTCTTTTTTCCTCCGGGATTTAACTTATCCAGGATGTCCCTTGGGCTGTAGTTCGTTCTGCAGTTATCACATTACACACTTAAACAGAAATGTCATTCTCGTGAACAGAGAGCACTGCCTTAACTGTCAGCAGAAGCAAGGTACTCCACCTAATACCTTACCCATATAACTCGAGGAGCTTGTATTTAATTTCAGTTTTCTGTTCGTGGCTGAGCTGTCGGCAGAGTTTGAATTGATGAAGGGCTGTTGCCATTGCCTTCAGGGACATTCTGCCATGCAGGAAAGCTGGAGGTAAGTGGCAGATTAGATTTCCAAGTAGGTCAACATCATATTCATCAGCAATGGAGCCATTCTGAAACAAGAATTTACTTTGTTGACTGAGCTAATCTTGGCTTTTGTCCTGTATCACTCAGCTGCATCACAACACATTTAAGCTTGGTGACCCTTTAAGGAACAAAGACTCTATAGTCTGCATCAGCAACTTAATCTACAGTTTCAGTTGAAGCCATATTATACTTCTTACTCTTACCACAACTGGTGATATTTAGTACACATTTGTTAAGCTCTAGTGCATTTTTTATTTCATATTGAATCACACATAAAAAATAATGTAAAATGCCTGCCACAGGCTCCAGGTGACCATTCAGCAAGTGCAGAATCAGTGCAGTTCTGCCTGCCAGGAGAGTCCTCCCATGGCCCTGTGGGGCCACAAGCTCTTGTTACCACAAAACTTCACTCCACAGAGTTTCTCTAGCCAAAAGACAAGGGATTACAGGGCTGGTTCATGTGTGCAAGGACATGAATACTCAAAGCTGCATCAAAAAGTAGCTTTCCTTAAAAAAAAATGAGCAGAAATCACAAAATCTTCCTGGTACAACTGCCTCTGCCACATGCAGCTCTGAAGGAGTGGCAGTTGTTGGAGCAAGAGGGAATAATTGCAGCTACAAATGGGTTGGCAGGGTCAGGCTGTTCCATCCACTTCACTGTGGTCAAAGACATTTCCTGAGAATACTTTGTAATGCACAGAGGCAAAGAAAAATGTTTCCTTAGGCAGAAAACAACAAAATCAAAACAGTGCATGAAGAAAATATAAGAATACAAACAGGAAAGTCAAAAAACTTAGGTAAACGGTGACTGACATCTCTGTATGAAATGCAGTGCAGCAATAAGTGCAAGCAGAACCACAGGATGGCTGATTCTGGATGAGCTCTAGAGATTGCCTGGTCCAAACCCTGAGCTCAGTGCAGACCAGCTACAGCCAGTTGCCTGTGGCCTCACTGGGTTTTGCACATCTCCAAGCATGGAGACTCCCATGAGCAACCTGTCCCAGTGATCAAACACCCTCACAGTAACAAAAGCCTTTGCTTTATATTTACTTGGGATTTCCTGTATTTCAGTTTGTGCTCCTGTAATCTTATATTGGTAAGATCCCATCTGAGCCTTCTCTTCTCCAGACCAAATTACAGACAGAGGCATTATTTTGATCTACATGAAAAATACATGAACTCTCACTGCAGAGCTGTTTCAAATGCAACATAGCTCTGGCATAACAGGGATCTTTGAACTCTTACAGACACCAGGCTTCTGCTAGGAATAAATTAGGAGCTTGGTAAAACTGCATATCACTGCCTATAGGTAAGTACAATCCAGAAAACCACATATTGTTTGCTGTACTTCAAACAAAGACAATAACTGAGTATTAGGATTCAGCTCTACTGGTATTTCCAGTGAGTTATTTTAAAATAGTTCTTTAAAATATTAAAATTAAATGTGCATTTTTTCCAGTATTTCTAAGCAGCAAACCTAATTTGGAACCCTGTACAAAGAAGTAAACACAGTTCATCCTAAGCAAGAAAAGCATCTATGTTGAAACATGAAGATTTTCAGAGTTTCTTTAAGTGATGCTACAGTTTTCAATCGCTGCTGCTTGTGATGGTGAAGAAATTGCCATGCTATGTTACTGCCTATTGGCCTGCCAGGGCCATCAGCTACAGTTTCACTGCACCAATACAGAGCAGGAGAGCCACTGTCTCCATCTGATGTCTATCTACAGGACACCATGAGCATCCCTGTGTACCCTGGAGACTACAAGCAGGCAGTAGGACTTTGTGATTCACCGTATGAAATAAACAAAGAGAAAACTAATCAGCCACTCTCACTGAGTTTGGAATTTTCAGCAGGTTCTGTGCAGCTCCCCCTCCACCACTGACTCACATAACTGTGCCTACCAAGCATTCCTGCACTTTCTGCAGCACAGCTTCTTTTTTGTGAAAGCTTGGACTCAAGAGATCCATCTCAGTCTTCCCAAGGCTTTCAATGAATGGGACACACAGAGGGCCTGAAATGTACTCCAGGTACTCAATCCTGCAAAAGAATTAGAATGGTCTCAGAATGCAAACCTGACCATCAGATGCCAATATCCACACCCATAACATCTGTGGAGACAGAAAACCTCAGAGATGAGTCTGAACTTCAAAAATTATAAATTGTAGTTTATAAAAGAAGTGCTCAGAAGAACAACTCAAAACGTACTGCTACAGATGGGGGAACCTAAGATACAGTAAGGTGCAACTTACGGAAGCACCAAGAAGAAGAAGGGAGGAATAGACGCGTTGGAGACTTTCCAAAACTTCCAAGCCAAACAATTAACCTAAAAGCAACAAAAATTAAGGTCTTAAGTATTTGTTATTTTTGAGGAAAAACGGAAATACAGCTTGTATTAGCATATAGAAAACTGTGTGTGTTTTCTTCAGACGTTTCGAGTTTACTTTCTGCAGAAATCAGAGATGAAGCATTCTATGTTTGGGCAGATGAGAGTGCTAGTATTTTTGCAAAAGCTATTTATGTATGTCCAAAAAGATCACTTACAGATTAGCAAGTTGGAATGACTGTAAAAACTTCTTGCAATTCTTAAGTACCAAATGAAATTGCCAAAATGAAGTATGATAACAAACAAATTAATGCATACAAGATTTAAATGAAATATGTTAACAGACAAGTTCACATGTACAAGATTTGGAAAAAAATCTGACAAAAGATCAAATTCCAGTTTACTTGCAGTCTGGATATTGAGTACCCTTATGCACACAAAGTCTTTTTCAGGTTTTACCTGATATGGGGAAAGCAGATGAAGATTATTTTCGAAGACTTCAAAATGGTTTAAAAAAAAGTCTGTGCCCATACTTTCAATCAGCTGACAAGTCACTCCTTTCAGAAGCTGTCCTGTACTGATAGGGAAAGCAAAGTTCAATCTTTTCAGTATTTTTAGCAGAATGTAGTCCTTACTCCCCACAACCAAAGGTTTAGTTTCTATGACTTACCTCTCTTTTCTTGTAATCTAAAGGCTATCAAAACTTAAATAAATAAACAGAACTAGACTATTATCCATACCTTAGGAGGTCAACAGAAGAACTTTTCTTAGACAGTAACTCATACAGATACAAGGCCTGAAATAAAAGCCACCACATTTAAAGTAAAACTTCAGTAACACAGCCGAAAGATACAACCACCACTGCAAGGTTTCTGTATGGTGAATGCTATCAGGTAATGCTATCAGGTAATGCTATCTAAAGACCTTTGCAGTGTCCAGAATGGTCAACAACAAGGTTTGGTACCCAGAGGTGAACCTACTCTTCACATCAGTGACCTGCACTGTGGAATGATGTTAAACACATTCCTGGCACATGGCCGTGGAATAAGGAAGGTTTGAAGAGAGCTCTGGAGGTCACGCTGTCTAACCTTCCATATCTGGACAGAGCCGAAGGACTGGCTGTGCATGCAGGCATCTGGTACACAGTACTGGAAAGAAACTTAATGCACCAGTCAGAATCTTGAAGATGTCTAAACTGTGCACATTAACACTTTCCTTTTCACAACATTGTCTTAGAAACCTGCCTTGGCTCTAAGTGACTGCTGGCTGCTTACATGAAAACATGTTTGGGGCAGTTCCTTTCTTCTGCCTCTTTCAACACATATGTACTACAACACTTTTCCTGTTCTCCCATCATACTAAATTGCAATGGAATGGAAAATTCATTGTTATTGTTTCTTTCTTTTTACCTGGCTGCTTCTTAGCTCTTTTTCTTTCATCATTGAAGAATTATATCCATTCTCCTTCCATAAATCAGAAAGAGATATTTCTCTAAAGAAAGCTCCTTGTATATCTGTGACCAGCGAAGAAAAATCTGTAGATGAAGCTATCTAAAAAGTGTGAGAGACAAATACATGACACTTCAGAACCGATGCTTAGATTTACAGGATTTGTCTTTCTATTCTGTGTAATAAGAGAGTACAAAAGAAAAGGATTAAAAAAGCCTTGGAAGTAAGTTAGACAGAGCCTTCAGAACACACTCAGTACTAAAAAAAGCCCCAACAAAACACTAGAAATATTGACCATTGAGCTTATTCCAAGTCTCAGTAACATTTTAAATCACACTCCACATATCTGGTTATTGTGCTTTTGTGCAGAACCAATCTGGTACACACTGCAGTTTGTAATTACCTTCCTGAGGATCCCCTGCTGTTGTGCAGGAGATAAGTCTGATGAGTACTGGGATGTTGTGCCTCGAATGACCTGAGAAAGCTCTTTCGGGTTCATTCTGTAGAATGACTCAGTGCTAATGCCAGTCACCAGTGCACCCATTTGGCTAACATTATAAAATGATAAAACCTGCAGAGATAACAGAGCAAACAAAGTCTTCTGGATTGTGCATAAAATACTTATTTAAAATCAAACATTACTAAAGGAAAACGATTTTTTTTGAGTACTTAATACTTTTTCTTGCCTAGAGATGCACTTGCTGCAGACGTCTTTCGATTCAGACAAGACAGTTCTGAGGAAACTGTCCTATTTGTTCCCTGAGGTTCCTTTTTTTGGAAGTCTCAGAGAGGACCCTGACTCATTACAGTACGTTAGAATATCAAGATTGGGATCATGCAAATTCTGCTGCGTGGGGCAGTGATACAAACAAAATAACATATACAATTGCCAATTGCAAATATGCATTCTCCCAATTACCAGAGTATTATATTACTTCAGGAATGGTTTTCTTTGATTTAAACAATTTTTTCAGACCACTAACAGTTCTAGCCATACCAGCCCTAAGCTTTTCAAAATTTACAGTTACTGGGAGGAGAAAGCCACTCTGCTTTCAAAAACAGAAGAAGGCTGTATCAGAGGTACCTTTCCGTAAGAGAGGTATTTACTGGATAAAATCATAACTTGACTTCTTGCCCACCCAGAGACTTGGTTTAGTGTTGCAATAGCATTATGCACTGCTTCAGGTGACAAAGATTCCAGCTGGCCTGAAGTCAGCCCAACCACAGCATCTGACAGCGATCCAAGGGTATCGTTCAATGTCTGGTTCTGCATGGCAATATTCAGGAGCTGAGATTTAAGCTAAAGCAAACAAGCAAAAAATAAACATATGGGAAACAAATCTGCCAAGAACCAATTTCCAATTACCACCCAAAACTTCAACTGGAGTTTTTGGAATAGACACTGGCAAGCAATTAGTGACCACACACTTCATTAAAATCCCAAAGTAGAACAACAATGTCAAAGAAATATGGAAGAAACAGAACAAGAAAAGCATGAGAACAGTGAGGAAAAGAAAAAAGCTTTTATATTTTGCATTATACACTCAAGAACTATTTCATTATTTCTTAGATCCAAGTAATATTTCACTCTTATCTTTCTGAATTCAAGAAGAAAGTCCTTTCCCAATCCTGACAACATAGTAAGAGGAAGTATGAGCACAGTACCCACCTTCTGAACCTTGGCCTGGAAACCTTTTAATTGATTGCATTTAATCATCTGATGAAGTAAAGCCCGGGCCACAGCGGCATCCATCTGTTCCATGTCATCATAAAAGCAAACCAACAAACCTAGCCTATATGGAAGAAATACATTAGCTGGCTTCTGAGATAACAGCTGTCACTCCCAAGAAAGTGAAGTACAGTATGGTATACCCCATGTGCTCAAAACTTGAGTGATCTGTTTGTCATTAATGCTTTAAAGCAGCAAGTCTAAAACTCCACATGGCCTTCAATTTGGAAATGAGGGACATACAATATTCTCTGTATTCATCTGAACTCCACTCAGATTGATTGTGCTGTAAAAAAATGTAAGTTTCACAGTTCCGTTTTACCACACCTGGATTTTCCCAGCTACCAGATTCCACTGCCTTTGGCAGAACTGGCAGTTATCTCTGCCTGGAAAAGGATAGAGGCCTATTAGGAAGTCTTCAAGCGGCTCCCTGAGTTCTTATCCAGATTTAGCAAGCATTTTGTTCTCCATTTCAAATCCTGCTTGGATTTCACTTGTAACATTAATATGGTGGAGCAGCAGCAAGAGCATTGCATTATAGTCTCTCTGTAGTTTCAGGCTTAAACAAAGCCTGCTGCATTTCCCATCAAACAGTTCTTTATCCCTACAGCAGGGCCTTGGCTGAATTCAGAGCAGTACTGTGGCTCACTGTCTCAGTTGTGCCAGCACAGCAAAGGTGTGGCATGCAGCACCATCACAAAGATGGTAAAAATCTGCTGTGTGCATAACCTCTGCTTTTAGCTCCTTTAGTCCCTCAGCAACAACCAGCTTATGATAATGATATAACTACCTACCACTTTAGCAGCCCATCTAAATTCTTGGGACGTCATCAAACTAACACACAAATCAAAGAAACATCTATAACTGCACTTTTATACCAAATAATTACCTCCTGATGCATTATTCCATAACCACCAAGAGCTCTTCATCTCCTCTGGGATTAGCAGCAATGAATAATGCTACTTCTTAAAAGTAAAAATGCATTTAAACAGTCAGAGTGGTTAAAATGAGTAATATAAAGTAAGTGTGTTGTGAAAACTGAATATATTAAGGATTATGGAGCATGGTATTTCTCTCACTGATTAGAATCTGGCACCTTTCATGAGTGGTAAAATCACTTTTAAGATTTTTAACATTGAAATCTAGAGTGTGGGCATAATTCTGTCACTTACATCCCCAGCAATCAACAGTACTTCACAGAAGTCAATGAGTTGCATTGCAATAATGACAGAAGCTCCAAAGCCACATTCTTCATTAGTTTAAAACTCTGAAGCATTCTCTGAGGAAAGTACAAATAACTCCAGACAGTGGTGTCTCAGGACTAAATACATCCACTTACATGACAGTGTAAATGTAAATGTAGAACACAGTACTTTCCTGCAGGTAGCTCTTGCTCACTACATATTTATGAATAAAAGCAAGATGCACATATATATATATACACACATATATATATATATTTAATTGTTAAAGTCAGTCAGTTCAGTGCTGATTTGACAGCCCTACAAGTGCAGGTTTCTGCTTGCGCACATCAAGTCACAAGCTCCTAACCATAACTCATCTCTGCTGTGCAAGACTACCTGTAAAGAAGACAGCAGGATGGGTTTTAGACCTCTCCACTTTGTGACCACTCTGGTGACATTATCAGCTGGACGCCTCCTGCAGCCCTGATTGACATGAGCTAAATTTTTTCCTTAAGTCCTAACCATAATGTGATTTGTACAACACACTTCTCTTTTCTGTAATTCAAACAGCTAACAGGGCTTGTGTCCTGCTCCCCCAGTTTGTTTAGCTGCTGTACTGTATAGCTTGATGGAGCTTTGATTGGGTCCCACACACACTGCTGTAGTCCTCTTACTACTGACAACTCCTCACTACAGAGCCAGAGACGAAGCATCAGCTAATAAGGCACACCTCCAAAATTCATAAAGCAGCAGTTCTTCACTGTTGCTAGCCAGGGCTGGATTTCAGCCTGTATTTTTCTGCTGGAAGAAAAAAGCTATGCCAGATCAACAATCTCATCAGCTACTCACTGCTTAGACTCTCCTCAGTTCTCTCCTTATCTATTCATTCTCCCCATACACAGCAAGAAAAAAACCATCAGTCTTGCCTGTAGACAGTTGAAGTGTTTCTCACATCAAATCCCGATGAGTTTATTCTGTCCAGGAAGGCTTGTGCAAGCTCTGGTGTGATATCATACACTGTGTCCAACTGCTTTGTTGCATTGTCGTAGCTAATGAATAGTCTTATCTGATCAGTGCAAACAAAGTCATTCATCAGGATTAGGGAATGACTGCATCTAATAAAACGTTTGACACTATAAATTAATTGACTCAATGTATGCTTTACAGAAAGAAAGAAGATTTGGATAATACAGTATTTTTGAAGGTAACACTGCTGAACTGTCAAATAATTTGAGGATCTTCTATCATTGGTCCTTTCAATACAAATCACAGAAGCCTGATACAGAAAAAATAACTACAGAAAAATATCACTGATAAGTCCTTCTGAATTATATAAGACAGGAATAATTGGTTGACAATGAATTTAAATTCACGTCATCTTTAAGAAATTAAAAATACATAAATTCCTCTTTCACGTTTAAGTTTGCATTTTGTTTACACCTTTTGTAGATGCCATCATTTGACAGTGATACAATGACACTCTTCTACTTACTTCACTGAGACTAATTTTCAGAATTTCTTCCAAAGGCAGATGGACCATGTATCTTCCTAAAATCCATAAGTTTTCTGCACTGACCCATGAAGCTGATTCATTGAAATCTGTTTTCAACAAATAGACAGTTACTACAATGTTTGGAAAGTCCTTGTTTTCCAATAATATCATGCCCACTATGTTACTGCTGGTAAACGATCACAAAATAGCTGCAAATCAGAAGAATCCTTTGCAGACAGAGTCAGCTCCCCTCCATTTGCTAGCTCTTAGCACCACATTTTTAAGAACTCATTCACTTTTTAATGAAACTGAAATAGTATTGCAAATGTCTCAAATTTTCTCATATGAAGACAATCTTTTATGTTGTAGAAGCGAAATGGATTAAGTACAGGACTGGCAAAATTATACGAATAGTATTAAGTATGAAGCAACAATTTTTGAACTTAGGTTTTCCTGATCAAATATATTATTTGTATTCAAATCAGGAAGGCATAATATTTTGTAACTCTTGATGTACCTTATATATTATTACTGATAATACCACTTATTTCTGTAATATGCAACTCCAATAATGCAGAAAATTAACAATTATTCATATACTCGTATGGAAAAAGGTTAGCAAAAATGCAAAATACTGCCTAATATTTAATAAATGTCATTTATCTGGTAACATTCTCAAAAAGTACTTTAAATGAAATCAGGATCCCTGAGTAAATAAATAAAGTATTTACAGACCACAACATGATAATAATATTAATCATATAATAATATGGTAATAATACAATAACATGGTAATATGAGCTAGAAAGACAGTGTTTTCCCAAAGTGTCCTAACTTGACTACTTAGCATGATATCATATCTTCCCCACACCTGCACTGCTTTGCACGTGAAAGAGCAACAGAAGAGAGGCTGGCAGCTCCCAGTCCCTCCTGAGCTGGGTGATCTTTCATTAACTGAGGGCTCACTGATGTTCCAGGCATGACGCCTGATGCTGTGGGATCTTCCCAGGATTGCTGAGCACCATCAGGTGAGTCCTGCCCATGACAGAATGCATCATAGCACAGTGGTGATTTTCCCCTCTATGACTTTACACGTTATGCAGATATTTTGAAGTAGTTGTGGTCCCAGGAGCCAGATTTTGCTACACTGAAACGAGGGGGCACTTTGCCTTTCATTTCCAGAGGAACAGGAAGAATATACAGGGGGATGTTCAGTGAGAAACAGATGTGGCTTTGATATGTTGGCATTACAGCCCTCTCGTGGAGCATCCCCTGCACTGTCCCAGTGTGGCATGTAAGATATATTAGTCAGGCAAACAGACATAGGAAAATGCATACAATTGGATTGGCTTTTTTTTTCTTTAAATAATAGGCTCTCAGACAGGTCTATTCTAGTCTCAGCAGGAGTTCAGAAGTAAACAGTACATATCCTATTTAAATCTTAGAGAAGGAATTTGGGAACAGAGGCTTTGAGTACAACTCTGAGCAGAAGAGGTGAACAACAAGCATCTGTGGGGAGCTATTTGCTGTGATTAACAAATCTAAGCTTATTGCAGTCCACAGCAAAGGCATTGCAGAGAGCTACTCATAACAGTCCTGTGTTAAACATGAGAAACAACACAATACAAGAGACAAGTCTTTTGTTGACTGTTTTTCTCTTATGATAAGCAAGAAGAACAGGTAGTGCACAACATACCACTTCTGTTATAGGGTTTTTGTAGAATCTCCTTCATCCAGCCATACAGAGCTTTCTGTGTATTTGCTGAGGTTTTGTCATAGAGGTCCTTAAATACAGTTGATCTAAGTGACACAGTGGCATATTAATTCACTAATGAATAAGCAAAGAAAAAAACACCCAAAAGACACATGGGCAAACGTTTTTAGAAACAGCAAGATAAAAGAGGAAAGCTACAGCTGATAAAATAGTGAGACCAGTAATCTACTAGTGAGAATAGTAATCTTATTCTAAGTGTACATATCCAGAAGAAATGCTACATAGTACTAATTGTGATGATTGGAAAATAAATGGCTCACAAGTTTCTGAAAGCATCTTCCTGCAAATCATTTGGGAGACTCCCAGCGACATCAGGTTGGAGATAATTCACCGCTGACATTCGCAATATCTGGCTTAGGATATCTACACAGTCCATAGCCCGCAGAGCCAGAAAGCATTTCTCCAGTGTTATAAGAAACAAGGTTCTGTTCACTCCTGGAATTTGGAAAATTCTCTCCCGAGTCTTTTCCCAATCAAGGATAACATTTCCAATTTCCTGCAAACAACACAGGGTTAAAATAATGTCTTTTCTGATTAATTCCATAAACTGTTCATTTTGAAGCCTTATAGAAAGCACCCCACAAACAATATGGTGCTATTCTCATGAAAAATAGCTGCAAAACACTGCCTGGTTGTGTTTCTCCAGATAATTCCTGTTTGATGTTGGCTACGGACCAGCTTGAATCTTTATACAAAATCAAAATGAAAAACAGAAAAAGCCAAATGGCTCAAGTTACAGCACGTACTCTCACGAAGGAGTTAGTTACTTGGAAAAATGAACAGATGCTGGAATAGAATGAGTATTATTTCATATGTAATTTAGAATGTAGGCAACTCTAGAACGGATCTTTTCCCATGCAGTATTTCGTCAGCTGTTATTACAAACACCCCCTTCAAGCCACCAGGCAACATCAAAGAAACAAGCGCAGGTAAAAGCCAGTCTGGCAGGGGACAGAGCATTGGTTGTTCCTTCTCAGATGTCAACGCCCCTAGGACAGCAAGGTCAGAGCTGATAGTCCCAGGCCTGGTTATTTGTTATTGTAATTATTACTCCTCTCAGAAGAACTACATCCATCACTTGAGAAGACAAAATTCACCGCTTATTGACAGGGCTTATGCTCTACGCTCCTCCTCCCAGTACAGGCTATACACACATCTGGTGTGCTTCAGCAACAGAAGCTGCACTGCTGTTCCTCAAGAAGTGCTCTCTGCATTGTCCAGAGTTTGTCCTGGGCAGTTACCTCACATGGCTGGGGAAATGCTCTGCCTTTGTTCCAGGTTAATCTGCACCCTGCAGTGATGCACATGCTGGAAGCCTGCAGGGAGGATGCAAAGTGCTGTCATGCACCAGGATACATCCCCACTGAGTGGCACTCGCTGGATTTGAGTGAAACATATAAGGTGTGTCACCCATATAACACAGCACAAAGGCAAGAAAAAACATCATGCTGCTTCTCCTCCAAATTGCCTAATTATTTGCTTGTATGGTGCTTGAACAGGATAACTAATTTCACCTTCTTCAGTCATCTTGCCTCTTTCTTGCCAACGTGTCCTTTTATCTAAGTTTTGGGAACAGCTCTATTTCTCATGCAGAGACTTACAAGATAGTCCTTTCTGCTGTTGAAAAGATACTTCATTGCAGTCTGGAACTGCTGTTGATCAAGTTGTTGAAATGCAGACAGCAGCTGCCTGGGCTGGTATAAAAGGTTCTTCAAGTAACTCTGTATGGACGTCTGAAGTATTAAAAAAATATGCATTATATACATAAAATTCATGGTACCCACTAGATGCATCTTTTACTCTCTGAAAATCTCCACATAAGGAGGGACAAGCGTTCAGCTTTCTGTTCTGCCCATGTTGTCAGTGACCAGAATAACTACAATCAAAACAAAATGGCAACAAAAATAATCTAAGTACAATGCTGGAAGACAATAGCTTTTAAAGCCTATGACTGGTATCATGAGCAAGTTCTCTTCAGTGAGACATGTAACAATAATACCTCTGTTTTTCCCTTCATAAAAACAAATATACTAATGTTTTCCTGTTTCATGGCAGAGCTGCACAAATAAACTCTTTGAAGAGCTCTAAACATCAGGTACTGTGGGCATAAAATTATTACTTAAAAAAGGAAGGAAATGTGCAATTAGACAGGAGGCGAAGTCTGCACCAGGTCATAAAGCAAAACTACCCTTTCTCACATCAAACTGCATTAGCAGCTAACAACCTCATGCCTGTTTTAAAACTCCAAGGGGAATTCTAGCATAGCAACAGAAAACAGGTTCATTAGCACTAGACTGGAGAAAATCCCTTCTAATTCCCACCAGAATTATTTCAGAATTGGTTAGGAATTTAAGTTGACACTGCTTTGTTGCCCTTGCATTGCCACCACCACCTATTAACACAGTTAGGTCTTTGTTATCCAGGGAGTTCAGGGCTGATTACAGCCTTAAAATGTTAATAAAACTCATCTGTGCAAATGAATTCTAAAGACACTGAGAGCAAACAGAAAGAAGTAGGGTCACTCTCGTGCAGATTTGGAAGAGTGTGGCAGCAAAATGGGGTTTGAGGAACTGCAGGGCTGTGGGTCACATGTTAGATGCTCTCAGAGTGCATGCAGGGAGGACTCTAGATTTGGGTTAGTGGCTGCAGTTCCACTTCAGTTGGTGAGGTTGTTGGATTTGACTCCTCACCAGTCATCATGGCATAGGGTAAAGGAAACCAGCTTTTTTCTATGTTACTTCCCCAGGACAATTTTAAAAAGCTATCTCAGAGGAGCCTTATAAGATGAAAGCATTTTTTTAGGATGCTCTGGAGCCTCTCATTCCATCTGAAGTAATGCAAACTACAGCCACAGTCAAAATCTTGAAACAATCTCCCATTTTATGGCGAAAAAGCGCGTGCCTATACTCAGTTCAGGAACAAACAGGAAACTCCAAATTTTTGCTTACCATCAGAAGAGATAAAAAGCACCTTATTGTTTAATCCTTGCATTATGTTGCAATCTTTAGGGGCAAAAAAAAAAAAAAAAAGGTATTCATATTTCCTACATCTCTGCTACACTGCAGAGCTATTAATTACTTCTCTTATTGACAACCTAACTTTGGCTACAGAACTGAGTAGCTTATTTTAATTCCTTTTTAAATAAAAATGTTGGTGCATTTTAAATGACACAAACCTGTAGGCTGCGAAGAGTAAACTTAACCTCTCGGGCATGGAAATATGCCATGACTTTTGTAACCATATCTGCTGTCCATACATTAGAACTGCAAGAGAAAACAGGAGCAAAAGTGCCAGCAAAATAATATAGCACATAAAATAGCTGATTTAGTCAAGACAGTAAGAGAAGCAAACACTATCAGTAACAACTAAACGACACAAGTAATCTTGGCCTAACCAGATTAACAGCCAACATATTGAATGCAATGAATAGTTAGAAGAGAAATCTATTAGTAATGTGCTGGGTTTTTTTTTTCTAAATCCATTTCCCCTCCCTAATAATATCAATTTTCTGACATGCTGCCAGGCATGAGATGAGCTGTGCGGTGGCTCCTCGTAATACCTCTTCTGATCTGCTTATCCAAAGTAAGGATGAGGACTAACTTCTACTGCCTTTTCCCCAGCAGAGTTATTAATGTCAGTGTTTCTTCTTTACACAGCCAGATTTTCTCAAAGTACACCAGGGTGGAATTGAGGCTTTCACTCTCTTCCATATTTAGACAAAATTGGCAATAATTACAAAGTCACCAAGAGCTGGAGGAAGAGGGATGGATGGAGGGTGAAGCAGGACTGGAAACTGACTGCACACTGGAACTGCACCAGTAAGAAGCCATTCTGAAATACATGAACTGAGTTAATTATCAAGATTTTTGAAAACTGTAGCATGCATTCAGATTCTCAGCCTCAACCTATGCTTGCTTTTTGCTTTATCATGAAAAAACAGCTTTTTCCTCATTGGACAAAATACTCCTCACAGCAGATCTAGACCAAAGTAAGCATGTAGCAATTTCATAATGTTTCAGCTTTTGTGGAAATGAAACAGATCAAACATGAACTGCACGATGATACTGAAAATCAAAATGGTGAGAGTAACATACATTACCTCTGAAAATGAAGTACATCGAGGAGAGCTACATGTAAAAAATGGAACGGAAAGAGTTACAGCGAGATACTGAGTTTTAATTCCTTTTAGCAACGTAAATGGGAACAATTTTGCACATTACCATTTAGGTATTTCCCAGTCACTACTTCCTCCTTCAGAAAAAAAATAAAGATGTGTGATCAGTTATTTTTAGATTATATTATAAATGTTATTAGAGAGACCAAGTAAAAATACTAACCGCAGCTTTGTGTAATAGTGGAGGCAAATCTGTAAAAGATCATCATGTTACTAAAAGGTGATGGACAGTTTACCATTCAGTTGCTGTACAAAAATGTTTCTCATGCAGCTACCACAACTACATACACACAATTTACAGTCACACATTTACTGCAGCTTTGATTAAATGTACTGACAGAAGGACGCTGAAAATAAAAAGCTATTAAATAATAAGTAATTCTGTCTAAATTCTTTGGTATAGTCCTTGAGGCCATGAGAGCAGAGAATAGCCTCCTACTTACTAAACAGCACTGAATCTACTTTGAATCTACTTACTAACACAGCTTTTTCCATCACACAGAATACATTCCTGAGATAGGATTTCTAGTCTTACCTTCAGAATTCTGACTGTGAGTAATCTCAGCAGGATTCATTAATATCAATAAGAAACACATCTTCAGAAGTCTGAGCATTTCTTCTAGTGTTTATTAGATTCAGAAGATATTTGGATTGAAAAAGAAAATAAAAAGAGCAGTCAAAAGGCAGCATTCGCCCCAAAGTTCCATTGCTGTAAGTCAGAGCCAGTCTAAGCTACCAAGTGCAGGCTGAGATCAGAATAATCTGCAAGTGCTTGCTCCCAAGCTTTCAATTTAGATCTTTTTCCAGGCTAGAGACACACTTTATGCAAATACAAGTCCACCAGGTGTGTGTGTGCAGCCAGGGATTGCTTTCCCCTCTTTTCAGTAAATACTTTTTCCTTCCTTGCTGCACTTTGGTAAGCCACATTCCAACTAAATATGATTTAAATACCATTTAGCAATAACAAACAAACAAAAAACTGAACTTTTAAGCTCGGGTAAAATAGAAAAGAAATAGAGAGACTGAAAAATGAAACTCCAACCAGTCTTTCAGCCTTCTTTAGCTCATGGAGTTGTCTGCACGACCACTGCAGCTCTGCTCTGCCCTGCACTGGGCCTGGCCTTCAGCATCAGTGCGGGGTGCCCCAGGCAGGGGGGAGGAGCTCTCCCTTTCCTTCATTTCAAGGGCTTAACTGCACCGTGCTTACTTTCCCCATTTCTTTTTGTTGCTGAATTTGGATCTGTGCTTCAACACTCCCCTTCCCCCCCACCGTTGTTTTACTTTCCCTGGATTGAATTACAGATTTGAACATTTGATAATTAGAAACACTTTTTGCAGACTGTTTAGTCTCACCTATCTGCTAGGTACTGTTTTACAAGAACACCTGTCAACAGCCTCTAGCAATATCTCAGCCTAATGCAAATACATAACTCCAGCCTTGTAACAGGAGTGACTCAAAGTGATGGATGACAACACACCGAAACGCTGTGCTTCAGGAAGCCAGGCCCCATCCTTTCTTTGCACACACTGAAGACCTTTTCAACTACTCCTCTGGGAGTGCTGTACTACATCTCTCTCATTCAGATGTATCTGGTTTCTCAGACAATGAACTTTCTTGTGTTTGTTTCTGCTATTGCCCTATTAATTTTGCAGTAAGGTTTGATTACTCTGCACAGTTTAAATCATGCTGTCAATGTCAATCCTGACTTTTTATTCCAATTCATTCACTTTGATCACAGAGAGTATTTTAATTAAGGCATACCAAATTAATATATAAGGAGATTAAATGCTAAGAGAAGTTCTCTTCTATCCTGACTAATTGCCATGGACAACTAGCAGGTGCATAAAGGATTTGCAGAGAAACAGCCCTGCTTGATAAGAATCTGTGAGATTAAGTATTTCCTTTGTCGCTGAAACCAGTCCATTTGCAGAAGTTCCCTGGAGCTTTTAGGCAACCCTGAATCAGCCTGTAGCTCTGCAGCTTCCACCCAGCATCCCTCTGCAGAGTTTTCTTTGCAGTGTGGCAGCACGCACTATGAGCAGATCTCCGAGACATCTCTTGCTGGGCTCTCAGGTTATGAGGAGCTTGCAGATTGCCCCTGCTCTCGCTCCCAAAACACACGCTCTTACATGTCAAGAAATCCTAGACACTTTATCACCCACCTCTTCGATGCAGCCAGTACCTTATCTGAAGCCTGATAACCAGAAAACTAACCTCATAATCAGAAGTCTTGCTGATAACCTCATGAACGAGTGCCTTTTCTCCCCCTCGCAGCCAAGCTCTCAGTATCTCCACAAAAAAGCCCCAACATGGGAACACTCAAGGGGTTCAGGCTGCAGAAGGAAGGAGGGAAGAAAGGGGAGGGCAGAGAAGAGAGTTGCTGAGTTCTTGTAGCATCAGTGGGGACAGCCAAGCACTTTACCTGCTTCTGCCACGTCTCCTTCCCCACACTCCACAGTGTAAGGAGCTGGCGGTGGCAGCCAGGACCCCTGAGAGGAGGGCAGGGACTGCCCTGCAGCTTCAGGTGCCAAGCCAGCCTTCAGAGGGGAGGGGAAAGGTCCTGCTGTGGGAACTCAAGAGGGTGAGAGACTCCTACAGCAGGCAGCAGAGGCGTCTTATCCTGAGATGGAGAGTTTTCAATAGGATGTATGAGGACAACAAACTGGGACAGGCTGGTATGGCCCTGTACCTCCCACCTCCCCATGCTGAGCTCCTGGCAGCAGAGCTGGAACTGACTGTACCTGGGGCCACCCAGCCAAGGGGGCTGTGGCTTCTGTGAGATGAATCTCTGCCAGATTTCTGCTGAAAGCTCCTGACTAAACCATGCTTTTGCACTGTGTCTTTTCTCCTGTGATGCAACACATCCAGTGCTACCCTGAGAGAACAGACAGTTCAATTATTCTCCAAGGCAAAGCAGTGCTCATTGTACCACTAAGAATTGACTTACACATCACCATCCTCACAGCAGGACAGGGTTAGCAGAGGAACAGAAAATCCAGGGATAAAGTATCAGGACATTAAACTGGCCACACTTGTCCCCTTGGATGAAATCTCAAATAATTTCAGGGAATTTAAATGACAACTGAACTCAAAATGGTTTCTTTGCATGGGATGTGGAAGCATTTTGCTGCACATTGATAGGCTTGTGAGGTCATAGAACACAAAGAAGTCCCTGAAAAGTAGGGGTATAGGTACCATCCCTCAGGGATGCTCTGCACAACAGGTCTAAGGGGGTTTCTGAGGATAAGTACCAAATGCATAAAATACTTTGGGTTTACCTTAAAACAGAGCAAGGGCAATAGTGCATATTTTCTGCCTAGGTTATTATCTCTACAGGACAAAGCTACTAAGCATTCTTATTCTGCTGTGTGACTGTGTACTTAACAGCTACATTACAGAAAGGAAACAAGGCAAAACTATCAGAGAATATTAAGAACAGGATTGCAGTGCTGTGATTAATATCTACGCTCAATATATTTGTGGTGCTTTAACTTACTTTAGCTATATTGCGTGTCGTTTTAACAACGAAGCTAACACGACCACACAAGTGTGTGTGTGACAAGTGTCTCAGGATACAATGACAGTTAGTAAACAAGGAAGTTGTCACAGAGCTTCCAACGCTCCCAAAAACTGGGAGTACTTATGGCTGTCTGAAGACCAACACTGACTCCTGCAAGGCTCAGTCCTTTAGACTTTAATCTTACTCTGGTTACAGATTTTCCCTGTCACCACTCACATTTCAGTGCTTCAGTTTTGCATCTCAAGTGGCACAATACTTGTTTAAATTGAGAAAACAAAATAGGTAATAAAAACACTTTTACATTGTATCTTCTGACTCAAAATATCCCAAAGCCATTACAAACAATTGTTTTAAATTACAAAACTAAAAGATATGAAAGATATGCATAGTCTCCCATGTGATTATAACCTGTGAGAGCAAAACTTTCAAGTGCCATTTAACCATTTAAGAATTTGCTAAATGAAGCTAAATTCATTGCACAAGAACCTATTTTCCCATTACTAAATAGGTCCGAATAAAGTAAAAGGAAAGGAAAGGATTCATTCTAAAGCATATAGAGTTCATTTTTCCAACAGAGAAGTTTCACTGCATGCTGTGCTGAAATTCAGTAACAGATGCTGAAATCAGAATAATGCTGAGCCTCAATTACTGCTGGAAAAAAAAACCCCCACCAGTGAAAGCTCTCACCCCTCAATACAGAACTCTTACTCTTTCACAAAGACTAAGAATAAAAGGCTATTAACTTTGCAAGAGAAATCACTAAACATCAGGAAAAGGAAGTCAAAGATAAATTTAAAAAGACAAGCTGAAACATCATACCTGGCATGAGATCACCAACTGTTAAATAAATATCTTGTTGGTACTTGAAAAGCAAAAGATAAGTCAGTTCTTGCTTCACTTACCAGCTGATCTACATGCTGAAGTTTCCCTGCTGTCTTACAACACTTACATCCCAAGCAAGACAAGACAAAGGCCTGCCACTTCTGTACTGCTTCCTGGTGTTGCCGTTTGTAGTTTTAGAGGAAGGTTTTATCCCAACTGCCAGAAACTAGCCATTTTAAGGGGGTTTTAAAAAGAAGGCATGTTAAAACAAATACTTTGTGTTCCTGGAGGAAAAAAAAAAAAAGTTCCAAGCTATTTAAACCTTTGAAATTGGGTCCCCTGAGGTCAAAGGCTCAGAGGCAGTTTGACTTAGAAAACGCCTGCAAGAAAGTGCCTGCAAATTCTTTAAACTTATGGGAACAATTCACTTTGAAAGTTTATTATCAAATCCATCAGTTTAAAGTGTAGTTCTGGCAAGCTCTACCACAACCTCTTTAGCTGGAAAATGGCATATGCAAAAGCAATGAGTATTTATGAGGCACTGCGAAGAACATGAAAGAAACCCAACCAAAAGTGATACAGTTTTTTGTGGACTGTTATCCCTTCAAGCAATACTTAAATACTGTTTTAATGAACTCAAGGTTGTGTTGCCACTGCGAGCTCAATTCTCAATGCAAAAAGCTGCTGCTGTGAACAAGCATGACTATGGTTACAAAAACGAACACAAAAGTTAATGCAAAAAGTCATCTCAAAAAAGTTTATTAGCATGAATAAAAACGTGAAGAATGACAGTAAGTGAGAAAGTAACTTAGCATGGAAGAATATCCATTTAAACAGTTTATAATCAGCAAGGTTTGAAATAAATGGATAACTTTATTGCCAGACTTCAAGTGATTTCTTGAACAACAATTTGTGTTGTATCAGATTCCTCACTAGAACTATTGCTTCGGTTTGGATCTGATCCCTGTTGCAGGTAAGAATTTAAAAAATATCCCCTGTTACTGCTGGGCTGCAGAATGCATTGTTGGTTTAAGAGCTGATAAAAAAAGAAATTCTCATCCAAAGTCTCCATTTAAAAATTAAAAACAAAATTTTCCTAATCACACTACAAAGAAATACATTAGTATTTTGGCCATTAAAATTCTTACATAGTACTTAGTTATCATGGCAATCCCACAAATTCCCTCCCTTCACAGAACCGTAGATCAAATCTCTCTTTCAGAGGCTGCTTCTTGGCTTTGATTCTGGAGATTTACTTCACGTAGGCTTACACGGGCTTCAGGACAAAGACAGCATCATCTAGTACATAGTAGTCATTATACATATCACCTTCACATAGGTATGGCAGTCTGGTGAAAGCCTCTATGGCAAAACCAGCTTTACCGAACACTTCTGGCAGGCTATTAACCTGTTCCTCCCAAGTATGCCCTTTGATTTCCAAAACTTCTGAGGGCTTTTCCCACTTGCCACCTACTGAGAAAAGAAAACAAGTTTTGTTTCAATTATAAAGTAAACTTAATTGTGTGTTGTGTTTTCTTTCAGAAATTACACTGCATAGACTGCAATCCATTCATTCAAATACAAGGTTGACAAGCCATAGATCAATTCAAGGTTTTTCAGAAGAACAAGCAGCTCCAAAACTAAAACTGAAAAGGACTCTCCATCACTGAGACTGGTGTTCAGCAGCCATGGACAGACGGACAATTTAACAAAGATCTTTGCCAGCACTGTATTTTTTTTCTTTATGCCTACAGTTTGGCCAAAAAATTACCGTCAAGTAATTACATACATAGAGATAGCAAGTTGAAAAATCATGATTTGCTGAGCAGTTTTCAGTGGTAAACTATTTTGCTGGTTAGATAAGGAATGGCGACAGAATTTGTTGTGGAATGGACACTTACAAGCTGACGTAACAAAGATAGTTTAAGGCCACATAAAAATAAGAAACTGAATGCATGTATTACACTGAAAAATATTTTACTTGCTTTATACAATGAATAAATCTGAAGTACTACAGGCAGAACTCTCAGTTTGACGTTCAGAAGCGTTCACTCACTTTCAAAGTAATGTGGAAACATTTTCTGGTGTGTGCTGTACATGTAGCATGTTTGCTAAACGCAACAGTAAAGCCCCTTCTAAACAGGAAGTTCGAAATCTCGTGACTCAGAGTGTTCTGCAACTCCAGATAGTTTCTAAGTTCCTCTTCCTTCAAGCAGAATACTTCTCAGAAAGATACAAGAAATGGCATCTGTCAACAAATTCCAAAAATTGCTGGTGCTGGCACTCGACTGGATTCTGTACAGTATTGGTAAGACTTCTTTTTTTCTAAGCTTCTTTCTACCTTCTCATGTAATTGAATATACAGGATTAAAAATGTTGTGGCTATGATCTGCAACGTAGCTGGAAGTATAGTAAAATGCTCTGCTAAGAGTTGATTTCTTCGATATTCATGCAACTTCCAAAACAAATAACTCTTCACAAATATCTTTTCTTTCAAAATCTGAAATGCTTCTGTAATCTCTGATTTTTTGAGTCAAATCCTACTGTAGTCCCCTGCAAGGAATGCTCCAGCAGCAGCAGCATGGCTTCAGTGCCACTGTGTTTGTTTGGGAGGAGGGTTTAGGCAGCCTGGCTACTGAAACTGTGGAGTTCTGCCCTGTAAGGCCAGAGCACAAAAGCGAGCTGTAAAAGGAGATGATAACTGCTGGAGCACAGCATTCTTCACCACGCAGAATGTAACTGACGACTTACACCACTACAGTGTTCAGACTGCTGCAGCTGCTATGGAGTGGCTCTGATGTTGATTTGACAGAATTTCATTTCATTCCAGACACCAAATCTGCTTGAATCTGGTCCATAAAACATTCAGTGAGAGAAATGATGAAGGGACTGTGCTGACTGTACACAGTAGAGCCTTACAGATGGCGTATCAGCACACTCATTAAGACAGACATCTATTTATTTTTATTCTAATTTGTTACTTTCTAGAGCACAGGAGAGGACGCTGCTAAGCTATTTTCATGTTCACTGCCTAAGCTCAATTCCATTTTTTAAATAATTAATTGATGTGAATAAAATTAGATATACTAAAAGTATTTAAATAATGTTTCAAGTTTTTATTGAACTTTAAAACAAAAGTAAATCTGCCAGACCATCAAGCCTAACATTTCAGTTCCTTAATTAGAATTCTCCCTGATTAATCTTCCTGTTTTCTCTACGCATATTCTTAAATGCCAGAACTAACAAGCAATATTGTTATCCCTAGAAACCCAGAGTCAATATGAGCAACGAAGTGGAATAATGCCTAGGAATTATTAAGAATTCTTCCCAATGTTACAAAAGTGCTAAGTTTTAAATGTCTTAGTTTCTGATATTTCTGCTGCCTCCATCAGGCAGTCTCACTGGACTCCCAGATGTGGGAGAAGAGAAACCCTTGGTGAAATACATCACTGAGTATCTATGTGTAAGTCACCCACCCCATCTACCCATCCTACACATTCAAAGCCTGAAACGCATTTTTCTCCATTCCCACCCACCTCTCTGCATGAACCATAAGCAGCTCTTTTGTTTCTTTTAAATGATGCTTTGCTATCTCACTGTCACTCACGTGGCTGTTTATTCTCAACAGGTGCTACAGGTAACTGCCATGTCACTGTAACACAGCCCAGGTTCCAGGAAGCTGAACACTCAGCGCACACTGCGCTCCTAACGTGTGCTTTCTCTGCCCATGGATGCTCCCCATCTCAGCCTCAAGTTCTATGGTTTCGCTTTTTTACTAACAGACATGAGGATCTGTGCACTCCTGAATGCACGAATCGCCAGAAGTTCCAAGTGCATACATCATCAGAAAATAACTACTGGCTTCAAATCAACAACCTGACTGTAAACGACAGCGCTCTTTATTTCTGTGGGATAGCATTTGCAGATTCAGGCTCACCCCATTCTAAGCAAACAGGAGATGGAACAGTACTGACAAAAAGAGGTCAGTTCATTATTCATTCCTAAAGAAGCGCGGTCAAAAGAAGTACATTTTCTTTCCTAAATACTCTATTTAGATGCTTAAAATAGCATTTAAGATAGAAATACCAACCAAAACGTCAGAGGAGTATGACTTAATACTTATTGTGAGGCTACAGAGGGATTCTACAGATAAGCACCTCAGTGTCATTTGCTTACTAGACTGTTCTGTTACACGATGCAAATGACTCCAGAATTCCACTACAGGAAGAAATTTGCTACCTAGCCCTACTGTGCACCCTCCTACATCAAAACCTGGATGGCTACTAGAAAGGATGTAGCAAGTGAGAAGTAGAGAAACTGACATTTATTGAAAATACATCCAACACAGAACAGGGTTTCAGGACTGGGGATTCACAGTGCCAGCTTGAGCCAAAAGTTTTAGTCCTATACCTCTGCAATGTTTGCCATCTAGTTAAAAGATGATGTGACTTCATTCATTACACTTCAATTTTACATGGTTAAATAAAAGAAAACTAGCAGGATTATTATTTTCCCCCCTATCCTTCCTTCCCCAGACTAGTTTTATTTCTAAACAAAAGCCTAAATGCTTTTATTCAGATGTTCTTTAATTACAGCAGAATACTGGGTTTTATTCTCTATCCCCTAAGGAATGTTTATAATCAGAAATAACAAGTCTCCACTGCCCTTGCAGGTGATCGTACTAAGAAATTAAGATCAGAAATTAGTTTTAAAAAATTACATTAATTTAATTCTGCGGAGGAAGGAGGCTGATATGCAGAGTTATAAGGAAATTAATGGACTCATAAAAACTGTTTGTTACTCTAACTCTCACTTCTAACTAAGCAGAGAGGCACAACACTGAAGAGTTCAACTCCATGATCATCATCTCAACGTTACTGCTGCTATACAGCATTACTGCATTCACAATCCTTGCAGCCCACAAGGTAGGCTCAAACCGATTTTGTGACTGAACTTTAAGCAGTCCTAGCACCTCCACAAGGAGAACAAATTCCCGGCTTCCATAACACCTGTAGTTATAGCAATGTGGTTGGTTGAATGAAGTTCATATGTTGCACACATCTGTCTGCAACAGCAATCACATTTCTTTTTTAAATGAAATGCTTTAAATTAAAAAAAAAAAAAAAAAAAAAAAAGGCTAAAATTATACTGAGTGTTTTAATCAGCAGGTGGGAGACTATTTATTAATGCACACACAAAAAGTAGAGCTAGAAATTACCACAAGTCATTAACTCTCTGGATTGGCTTCCATTAGAAGCAAAATAATTTAAATTCAATGCCAACATATTTGTGAGCTAACAGCCAGTAAACTGACTTTACTTGTATAAAGAAATTGTGTTCATCCATTGTGCAAACACAGACATTGGTAAAACTGATGCATATAGGAGCACGACATGTGAATATGGACTTTACAGCTGTCTGTGGTACAGCATGGCTCCTGGCTGTAGTGACAGCTGTCTAACCAAAGACAGGAAGCTTGTTGTTGTTTTGTTCCCTGAATACTATAGGGGAAAAAAATCAATCGCCTTTTTCACCAGGAGAAAAGCTGCTATCTTACTTTTGACAACTTGGCCGTGCTTCGGGCAGGTTCTGTTGAACACAAAATATTTACATCATCTACTACA